TGTCTACTCTTTTCTAAGTATAGACAAGGATATTTAACAAATCCTTGTAACGAGTCCTACAGTAATTGCCAGAGCAGGGTAGATGCTTAGAATGAGATTAAATCATGAAACATTTCTATGTTTAAATCTAAATTTTCACCTCAAAAAATCTCTACTAACAAAGCAGGTTTGAGTTGCAATCATCCTAATAAAATAAGAAATCTTTAAGATTGTGAAACATTTGTAAATAATGGATCCTTCAAATATCTACGAACTTTATTCTAAAACTTATAAGGAGAAACAATAATTGCTCTATATAACCACTGATACCAATTTAGCATTTGATGAAGATGTTAATTTATGATTGGTTAGCAGTTTATGGCTCTCATTAGTTTTTTAGTTTGGTCCACATTAGAAATCTATTTTTCTTTTTATTTTAATATGAGACAATTATATAAAGTGATGATTATGTTTTATCTAAAATGTATCATTCCACTATAGCATTTCAAATTATTCACAGATCATAGTTCTTATATGTGCATATATGAATTTAAAAATACAGCAATAAAATGCTTGAAACAGACCATAAATTTGCTTCATATTTTATTGCATCTCTGAATCAGGTTGAGAAGACAAGGGCAACTGTGGTCTTTGGGAAAGAATTAACTCTTTCTCAAACTGGGGAAAGAGGATACTATTACATTGTGCATAATTAAAGGCCACTTCCTAGCAAAGTATCCTGGGAACTTAAAAGATTGGCCTGTTGCTCTTATGAGTATTGGGGAAGGGAAAAGGCTACGGGGATGACAGCAAAGTCTTATTTTCTTTTTGCAGTTCAACCTTTCCAGTCAATTCTCTTCCAGAGCTCCCTAAACTGTATTGCGTGAATTAGAGAACACCGAACACCGGTGGAGGGGAAGAAAAAGGAAGAAAGTTACACACACACACACACACACAGAGAAAGAGACACACACACACACACACTTGGAGTACCTGGTAACTTTGCAATCATCCAGAGAAGTCTCCTGGATCGAGTTAAGATCAATAATTTAGAAAAAGTGGTAGAATATAACCCAAATCAAACCTCAGGGAAGGCGAACAAAGAGTTTTCCTGCGGAGCGAGGAAGTGAAGAGCTCTTTGGGGTTTAAAACAGGGGCGCTTTCGCAGAATTCCGGGTTTGGTGCTGCTTACAAGCCCATTAGCTGTGTGTGACCCACCCGGCAGCGGGGCTGCAGGTGACAAGCTGCTCTAATGCCTCATTGTGAAAGAGTCTGAAGTTCGCTACTTGTCCCAAGGAACTTGGAGGTTCGATGGCAGTTGGCCCTCAGGAGGGTCCCGGAACGCCGGTCCAGGGGAAGCCAAGGAAGAAAGAGTGCTCTGAGGCTATGATTCCGAGTCCCTCCGGAGACGCGGCGAGAGCACAGTGGAGAGTGGGCGCCAGTGTGGTGGCCGTCATTCGGTCCGTTTGCACCCCAGGGCTAGAGCCTGGCAGGGAGGCGCCCCCTCCCTCCCCTGCACAAACTCTTGCCCTAGCTGTGGTGTGGACCAGGCGCCTGACTGTCCAGCACAGTTTACAGAACCAAGTTCTAGTAAACACACTCCAATAAATCCAAAAAGCAAGAGATCCGGCGGGGATGGGGAAAGGCTCTCTCTCTGGGAGTTGTGTTTTTCTTAAGCTGAAGTTACTTTCTCCTTGTTTTCTCTCCTATTCCTGTGGCTAACGTTTGATTTAAAGGACCGAGGTTCAACCAACCTGCAGCTTATTAGCTTGGTAAATCCAGGGGCATCTGAGTTCTAAACGCAAATAGCACGAGGGAGAGGTCCTCGTTTATTTTGTCGGCACAACTACAACAAAGTGTTCATTGACCTAAAGCTTCTTGGCATGTGGATAATTTAGTCTGACCTGCATTTAATGAAAATAAATCTTATTCATGTTTCTGATATTTATGTTTTGTCATGTAATTTTGTTTAGAGGCGCTGTTCTGTAGTTGACCCCCTCCCTATCGGAGTCACATTTTCATTAAAGATTTTACTAGGGAGGCTTGCTTGACCAGAATTCATTACCTCGCGCCTTCCAAGAGCACACTTGCGGGCTCCACTGGCTCTCCTGTTTGGAAGGGCGCTCTGCCCGCCACAATGCGCTGCGAGCCGGGAAGTGAACTCATCATTATTTTTCAAAGTCTGGGAAGTGTATTATCCTTTTTCCTAGTGGTAATTAGTTACCATAGCATCTGATACGTAAATGTGCCCAAAGCACACCATTAATAGTTAAACGGAGGATTCAATTTAACACATGATTTTATCTTTCATAAGTCATTACGTTGGAAAAGTCAATGCCGCTCAAGCTGGAGAAATCAACCGGGTCCGGGGCACGTAGGAAGATTCGGTCCCGTTGGCCCAGACCAACAGTGTGTAGAGAAGGGCTGCCTGTAAACCTCAGCCCACCCTAGTGGGCCCACCCTACTGGGCAGTCCAGCCAAGGTGGGTTGCGGGTAGGTAAGGAGGGAGTGAAATTTAAACACAGCAAGGGGTCTTGGAGGGAATGTCCAGCTGCGGAGAGTGGAGAGTGGAGAGTGTATCAAAGAGCGCGCGCGTACGTGCACACACACTCTTTCTCTCAAGCGCACGCTCATACACTCACTCACATGCACCACGCGGAGGGAGAAGGAGGGGTGGCTAGAGTACTCTTCGAAGATGATCATTTGCTGCTCCTGTATGCTCCTGTTGGTGCCCATCCTCAACCTATGCGGCCAAAATGGGAACAAAAGGCCAAGCGGTGAGGCCTGAGTCCTCAGTCTCACCTCCCACTCTAAGCATCCAAAGGAACTGGAGCAGCGGTCTGACCCGGCCTGGGGCGTCGGATAGGAGCCCCCTGAGGTGGATGCCTGAGCAGATTCCTGGCTCTGGCCAAGGTCCCTTGGCGGATGCAGTAGTCCTCAGGGGCCAGGCAGTCCGCTGTCACCCAAGGGCACTTGGACAAGAAAACCACACTGTGGCTTAGTCACCCATTCCCGACGTGGGTGCTCCACACAAGGACATTTGGTACACATTGATGTGTGGCCAATTCTCCAGCCTGGGCCGAAATCCAGAGCTCAAATCTCAGAAGGAAAATGACTGAGGGTCTGTCAGGCAGGGGAAGAGCTGTCTTTCCAACAACTGGGTTTCTTCTTTTAAGCTGCTGCTGCTGCAGAAACTCTGTAAAGGTTGGAGTTAGGGCAGCAGGGCCACCCAAGTAAATCCAATAAACCCCTCTCCAGATACCTTCAGGTTTCCTAGGTACATCCCAAGAACTAAACACTGGCCAACTTCTAGGTTTTAAAAAGGGGTTAATTGCTTGAAATTATCAAAATGAAATATTATTACCCCTGATACTTTAAATAATTGTACCTGTTCCTCTGACACTCAAATTTAGCCTCAGCATTCCTTCCCTCCTTTCAACCCCCATCCATTCAGGACTTAGACTCTAGACTGAACTATTAAAGGGTGAGAGGATGATGAACATTTCTTTTTCTCCTGAAGTTCAAGATTGTTTTGTTCTGTACAATTTCTAATAATAGTTGAACAGTACAGAGGTTACAGAGGAAGTATTTCAATGAAGCCTTCCTAATGATGAGAAATATTAAGCAGTAAATCTTGCAGCAAACGTGTCCCCTACGATGTTAATATGCAAAATAGAGAGAGAGAAAAAATCCAACTGGTGGTGGCTGTGGTTAATTCCTAATCAGAATGATGGACAGCAGGGCCAGAACAATACAAACTAATGGCTGTGTTGCTGATCACTTTACCCCTTGATTAAAGACACCCAATTATGGTGCAGAACAGTGTCGTAATTATGTTTCTTAATCACATCCAGGAGGTTTAATTGCCTTAACGATGTGTTTCATTAAATGAATTTAGGTATTATAGTCGACAGTTTTCATACACAGTTGTTTTCAAATTAACATAATATTAGACATCGTCATGGAAATTGTTTTAATAATCACAATTAGACGCACCCAGGCTTTGTCTGGTAAATGCTCAGAGACGGGTCTCCTCCTGCCTGGGGGCTGCCCTAGTCTCTTCCCTCCCTCTCCCCCCCACTGCCAGTGTGGGAGGGCTCCAGCTTCAAGGCCCTTCACCATTATGTTTTCTGAAAAGTTACAGGTTCTGATTAATCTTTTTTGATGGCAAGTGGAGCAGAAAATATCTCTCATCACCCCCCACTAAGTTTGATGGCATTTAGGGATATCATTATGAGCTGAAACTATACAGGCAAAAATGCATTTAGCATGCTGGGTACAGCAGACACACTATCACTTCTTCATCATCACCACCACCACCACCACCACCATCTCTACAACCTCCATCACACGGAAAATCAAACCTTCAACATTTGAGGGCAAGTATTAAGTCCAACTACAAGCCTATACAGACAGTCTATAATAGAGTCAACACCCAACCCAATCAAATATAGTCCCTAAAAAATTCATTAACAAGCAACACTAGAAAGTTCTGAAAATCTCTACAGGCACTGTTTACACTTATAATTCAACCTAGTTGATGCCCTGCTCTGTCACCAAAGACGGGGAAAAAAAGTGGAAATCCACAGTAAAACTAGGGCTCAGAGAATCCAAATCTGTCTCTTTCCCTCAGTTGGCAGGGAGATGGGGATAGACATTTTGGAGTTAAAATAACTCTTTAAGAAATTTTTTCCTCTTTGATGGGCCCTGGCATACTTAACAAGGACATACCAATGGGAAAAGAATTCCAGGGAATTCATGTTCTTCAAAGTTCATGCCAAAGGCCAAGAACTCCCAACCTCCTCTGGATCTCAGCACTGACCCATTCATCTCTCCTCCAATGATCAGGCCCAGCCAATGTCCTTTTAACAAGTGAATGTAACCAACACGAGGGCTACAAATAATTGTGCATCCCTGCCAATACTTTAGTTCCACCTTCTTTCAAACTCCTTTTTTACTTTTCAAGCAAAGAGTAACACTGGAGAGAGGTGATTGCTCCTTCCACAAAGCACAGCATAATGAAATGTTTGATCAAAATATTTTAATAAAGATTCTTTCTGACATAGATACACATACAAATGGTCATACATAGCTGTCATAGTCTGATTGACCTATTCAATATATATATCATTCTTTACACATCCAAAACCCGCCAAGAGATCCATCACAGCTCACAACTCGCCATCCAACCTGACAAACTGAATTTGTATCTGCAAGAAGTGGAAAATAGCAGGACTCCGTATTTTAAAAAGGTTTTCTTGATTTTTCATAGGACAGAAAGGCAGGCAAACAGCCATGCAAACTAAAACTGAAAGCTCACTTTGGCTAAATAGCTTCTTGCTCTTCCTCAGTTTTATTTTCTTTTTAAATTTTATATATTTTTTAGAAAAATAACAAAGACTTTTACACCATAGGCAAATCAAAGCAGTCTTTTAACTTAAATAACTCTCCACAGTTAAAATAACTTATATATTATATATATATATATATTAAAAGCAATTAAATGAGGCCTTTTAAAAATGCACAGCACAGCCTGAAAAAATATTTGCTTAGAATGTTGTTACTTCTAGGATCTATTGCTGTGATATCTTTCCCTTTTAGAATGTAAAGGAGTCCCCTTTCAAAAAAAGAGATCAATTCATTCATCAATTAAGAATACACCTTTCCTGTAATTTTTGGACTGAAGCAATTTATTAAAGCTCAATTTTAATACAGGGATGATGCAACTGAAAATATCCAGGTGATCTTTCATAAACCTAAACAGCTAAGATACATCAATATTTCTCTTCATACTTGTTGGCAAATAATCCTTTTAAACACTTGGTACACATTATAAGTTAATTTATAAAACAGAATTTTAGAGGCATTGAAAAAAATCTGCACATAAGACCTTAACACATGATAAATACTGTGGATGTCGAAGGGTCGTTGAAGAATAACAAATAAAAACCATGAATTGTTATACATCATTGCAAAGTGGAAAGGAACAAGGTGCACATAAATATTTTTAAATGCAATTCTTTCAGCCACAGTCAGTTTTTATATCACTCTCGCCAAAACTTTGAGCATTTTCACAGGATTGAAGTTCAGAGACAATAAAAAATACAAGTCTTTCATAGCAACGTCTCTCTCTGTTTTTTGTTTTTCACTTAAATAAGTCTACATTTCAAGTTTTTCTCCTGGCTCAGAATCAAAATTTATTTTCAAGTGCCTTTTCTGATTTGTCTGAATGAATATGCCGTTCGACACGCCACCCAACCCCGAACTTCTCTCCCCCTCAGCGGGAACCAAATTCCTAAGTATTAATAGGATTAGTATTTTGCTATTTAAAATACTCTCCTCGCCTTAACAGAGCTACTACTTCTCAACTTATTTTTCACCATAAAGGAAGACTGTACTTCCACTGGTCTACGCTGCCACCAAAGTTGCCACTTTTCTGAGGGGAAAAAAAAAACCCACACTCCGTTCCAACTCCACCTCCCTTACCCCTCCCTCCCTACCCCAAAGACCGAGATTCTGGGGATGACAATGCTAGAAGTCCCGTTTGTCTCTGATACTTCTCAGTTCTCGCCTCTGCTTTGTTTTTCTCTGCAAGTGGTTCGCAACTAGGAGAGGGCCAAAATAAAGGGGGTGGGGGGTAGCTTTTCGCTTTCCTCTAGCTTTTGGATCAGTGTTTTTCAGGATTGTATTTAAGGCTTCTCCGTGCACTGTTTGCAGAGGCTGGAGGAGACGCTGTTGAATAGGGCGCACTTCTCCGGGCAAGAGGCGGCCGGGGGCAGCCCGGCGCTGAACGGGTAGCCCGCCGCCTGCTCATAGGCGCCAAGCGCTGGGTGCAGGGCAGCGGCCGCCGCCGCCGCCGCCGCCGAGCTGGGTAGAGAGGCGGCGGAAATAGCCTGGCCCTGATTGAGGTAGGCGACAAGGCGCCGCATCTCCTCCAGGGCCTGCGCCTGCATGAGGATGTAGTTCTTGGCAAGCAGCAGCGTGGCAATCTTGGAGAGCTTCCTCACCGATGGGCTGTGCGCGTAGGGTATCACCGCGCGCAGCTCGTCCAGCGCGTCGTTCAGGTCGTGCATCCGCCGGCGCTCGCGGGCGTTGATGTTGAGCCGCAACGCCTTTTGCTCTTTGGATTTCTTGCTGCTGCCGCCGCTGCCACCGCCGCCGCCGCCGGTACCCCCACCGCCGCCCGGGCCCCCTGGGGGGACGCTGGCGCCGCCGTGGAGGTGGGCGTTGGAGCAGCCCTCGGCTGCCTTGGTGCCGCCGCCCACCGCGCCCGGGGAGGCCCGCGGGTCCGCGCCTCCGGCCCTCAGCACCAGCTCGCAGCGCCCGTCGCTGTCGTCGTCGGGGCTCTGCTCGCCACCACTGCTCTCGGCCATCGAGCCCCGGCTTGAGCTCTCGCCGTACTTGAGGCATAGGGTGGCCCCGGCCGGCAGGCTGCTCAGGCTGGGGTCGCCCCCAACGCCAGCAGACCCCACGAGCAGCCCGGGGACGCCCACCCCACTACCACCGCTGCCGCCGCCACCGCCGCCACCTCCGGCGCCGCCGCCACCTCCGGGTGGCGGCAGCAGCAGCCCTGCCCCCTCGGGGTCAGCCGGCTCGAAGCAGCCTAGGGGCGACGAAGAGGAGGACGCCGGGCGCTCCCGAGGCGGCGGCGCCAGGGACAGGTCCATGCCCGGGGGCGTGGAGCGGAAAGCCGCTTCCAAACGCTTGGCGGTGGAGGCGCTCAGGCTCTTGTGCAGGAAGAGGTCGTCTTCGCCCGCGGCAGCCGCGCCGAGGTGCAGCCCGCGCTCCATGGCCCCGCGCCGGCGCGCAGCCCAGGCCCGCTGTTCCTGCCACCGCCTCCTGGGCTCCGGAGTCAGGCAGTGCCGCAGACGCGCTGGAGCCGGGCTCCGCTGCTGGTGCGCGCGTCGGTCCCCGCGCTGCCAGCAGCCCTCTCCCCTTCTTTCTTTTTCTTTTTCGCCTCCCCCCGCGCTCGCCGCCTCCTCTTCTTCTTCTTCTTCGTCTCCAGCCGATGGTGCTGGTTTCTGGGGCTCACCATGGGCCACGGCCCCGCATGGTGGGAGGGTGGGCGCGCAGGGAGTCGAGCCGCCGCCGCTGCCTCGCTGAGCCCAGCCCGGCGCCTACTCTCCGCACCGTTTATCTTGCTTGGATTCACCTTCAAGAGATTTCCGGACCCATCAACCAGCCGCCGCCACAGACGGGGGAGTCTTTTACATCATTATCTCTGAGTAGGTTATTATGAAGAAGACTCGCCTGTTGGGACAGCGCCTTTCTACCCAATCAGGTTAACGTTTTAATTAATAGGATTAAAACGGCAACAAACAATCGCAGGCGCTATCTGGCCGCAAGTCTGAATAGTTTCATTTCCCAGGTCTGAAGACAGGCAGCAGCTAGAGCTTTATAAAAGGCGCCTGCTCCATTATTCTGCCTGCCATCTGTATACACAGCTTAGCGCATATGTTTGCAAGGCGCTGGGTCCTGTTAGTAACCCAACAACTGCCTTTAGCTTGACATGTGTGGCGACTTTCACTCATCAATGAGCACACTAAAAGCCCTACTTAGAGCTGAGGATGTTCTTTGCTCCTTCAGCAAATTGTAGATCGGCGGTGAAGCCTGGGAGTCCCACGGCAAGCCGACGCCCCCTCCCACCACACCACACCCCACCACACCCCGCCCCCACAGCCCTTCCATTGCCACTTCTCTGTTAGCTTGTGCTCAGTTACCCTTCCGGGAGAGAATTATACTCCACTTAGGTTCTCAGGAAGACTCTGGTTTAGATTTGGAGATGGTACTTGGGAGGAGGTGGTGTCCCGCTGGCTTGCCCAAAATTCACCCTAGATTTTCAGCTAGTGAGAGCAAAGCACCCGTCCCCCCACTCCCAGCCCAGAACACCCTGCCTTATTTCCACCTGTCCCTCCCCATTTCCTACCCGGATGCCAAAAAAAAAAAAAAAACCCCAATAAATTGATTATGCAGTCCATTAGATTTTATAAAGAGGGGTGGGTGGGCTGCTCCTGCAGCCGTCTGCAAATAACTGCTATAGTGATGCTGATAATGAAGCACAAGATTTCCGGAACAGAAGAAACAAGTTTCTCGAACTTTCCTCAACAATAAAATCCAGTTGTTTTTGGAATTGTCAACTTCACCAGGAGTTAAATCTTCTCGCTCACACAATGGGGTATTTTTGCATATTTATTTACACAGAAACGTAACTGCCACAGCTAAGAAGCCTTTCAGGAAACATCTGGGTCTGCCTTGGTGGTTCTAGGAGGGTCAGTAAAGGGAGAGCTCTGTAAACAAGTGC